ATAAATGAACTCAGTAAAAATTGCCCGAAGGAACAGTGACCATATGATATTAAAGGAATTAGCAATGAAGATGGATGTGGATGCATTGATAGTAATCTTCCATGCATCTTTTATATTATGGAGAAGTCCCAGAAGATTGGAAAACTACCAATGTAACAGCCTTAATCAAAAACAGAGGCAGATAAAAATCAGTTAACTACAGTCTACTAAGCCTAACATTTGTTATTCGGAAAATGTTAGAGTCCACTATAAAGAATGACAGGACATTTAGAAAAGCATCATATAATCAAGCAAAGTCAGCATGGCTTCATGAAGAGGAAATCATGCCTGACAAATACTTTGAGGAGGTAACAAGTATGATAGATAAAGAGGAACCAGTAGATGTAACATATTTAGATTGTTAAAAAAAACATTCAGTAAGGTATCACATGTAAGGCTACTTGGAATCCATGTTGTTGGGGGTAGTGTATTAACATGAATTGGATAACTAGTAGAAGACAAAGAGTTGGGATTAGGGAGACATTTTCAGGATGACAAACTACAACTATTAGAGAACCACAGGGATCAGCACTGGGGCTACAATCACTTACTATATATTATTGACTTAGATGTTGCAAGTTACAGAAATCTTACAGCACCCAGAGGGAAACTGTGCAGACACAGGGAGAACATGCAAACTCCACACAATCACCCAAGAGTGAAATTGAACCCAGATCCCTGGTGCTGTGAGGCAGCAGTGCTAACCACTGAACCCCATAAGGGAATCAAGGGTTATGGAGTTAAGACAGGAAAAGGGAGTGGAGGATTTTCAGATGAGCCATGATCTCATTGATCAGCAGAGTAGATTTAATGGGCCAAATAGTCCACTTCTGCTCCTATGTTTCATGGTCTAATTTGCGACTCTATGTTCCTTCTGTTTCTGTCTAGAGAAATTGTATGCTTTCAATGCATAGAGAACTGAAACCGTATCCCATTATTTTTAAAATGTATTTCTCCTCACATTTACTGAACCCACAGTTACAGTAATATGTACCTCATGGGTCTTTGTAACATCTCGTGCAGTCTTAGGTGATATCAACAAAAAGAATAAATCATGGATCCTGTCTATTCTATGTAGCTCACATTAAACAAAGAAAGATACTGAGAAGTATGATATCTATCTTAAAGCCAATCTTCAATGGATTACTCAGAGGTCCTCTCCTTTCGTGAAGTTCTGATTTTTCAGTGGAGTTCACTAAAGGGAATATCGAGGAAACATTACACCCTATGGTTCAGGGACGTGTAGATTAGGTGCATTAGCCATCGCAAACACGGGATTACAGGGAGAGGGTAGAGGAGTAGTCTGGGTGGGATGTTTTTTGGAGGGTCAGTGTGAACTTGATGGCTTGCTTCCACACTGTAGGGATTGTATGATCCTCTATCTCAATATATCTACGTATGTGTAAATTTTATAGTATCCACACTACATAGAGAAGATAGAGGTATAAATGTTATCCTCATTTAGAGGTACTGACAATAATGAAAAACTAAACACATGTATAGTTAATTGTACGGCCCTGGGGAGCTTTGCCAAACAAAGAGACCTAGGGGTGCAAGTGGAGTCGCCGGTAGACAGGGTGGTGAAGAAGGCATTTGGCATGTTTGCCTTCATTGGTCAGAACATTTGCGTATTGGAATTGGGATGCCAAGTTGCAGCTGAACAGGACATTGGTTAGGCTACTTTTAGAATTCTGCATACAATTCTGGTTGCCCGTCTACAGGAAGGTTGTTATTAAATTGAGAGAACGCAAGAAAGACTTATAAAGGTTATTGCCGGGTCTGGAGGGTTTAAGTTATAGGAAAAAGGCTGGGGCGTTTACCCTTGAGCATCGAAGACTGAGGGGTGACTTTATACAGGTTTATAAAACTATGAGGGGCATAGATAGGGTGAATAGCCAAGGTCTTTTCCCTAGGGTGGGGTAGTCCAAACTAGAGGGTATAGGTTTAAGGTGAGAGGGGAAAAGATTTAGAAGGTGCCTGAGAGGTGACATATTCATGCAGAGCATGGTGCGCGAGTTGAATGAGCTGCCAAAGGAGGTAGTGGAGGCGCATACAATTACAACATTTAAAAGGCATCTGGATAGGTAAATGAATAGGAAGGGTTTAGACAGATATGGGCAAAATGCTGGCAAGTGGGACTAGGTCATATTGGGATGCCTGGTTGGCATGGACGAGTTGGACCGAAGTGTCTGTTCTGTGTGGTTTGACTCTATAAACACAAGATTGCAACTTTATGAAAAGAAATAAAAAAATGGCAATAAATGTTCAAAATACCAGGATAAAAATGTTCACTTCTTTTATGATTTCACCTCAACTACAGCTGGCAAAAGCTAATTTCTGAGAGATTAACGTGTAGGTTCACTGTTTATGGAAGCTATAGGTAAAATATTGTTCCATGTGTTCATTTAAGTATTATTACCTTGAACCATTCAATTTCAATTATTTACCTTAATGAAAACGAACATAATTTGAAACATTGAGAGAAACTATACTTTTCCTGGCAATGAAAATAAATGTGTTGTGGTATCAGAAGTAAATGAGCACCATGTCCAATTTTATTTTACTATCTTACTCCCCATTAATCTTGAAGTATCTTCAGTCATAAAGTTAACTGAAGCTGGCTTGCAGTCGACCATAATTGAGAAGACTCATCTAGGAATGCACCAAACACGATGAGACACTTCATCAGGAACTTGCAGGGAAACCCAAGGCTTCACAGGGTACACACAAATCACCAAACACCCCATTTATCCAACCCTTCAAACCAGCACCTATCCCGCACGATGGAACCTGCAAACTGTGCATTAGACTCATCAACCATCCCAGAACCTATTAAACCAGGTCAGCCTCAATCCCAAGGGACTGCTGAGGAAGAATAAGAACTGAAACACACACCAAAAGTCACTACATCTGTTTTATACATCATAGAAACATAGAAGATAGGGCTTATTAACCTCCTCCTGCTCCGCCATTCATCATGATCATGGCTGATTGTCCAACTCAATAGCCAAATCCTGCTTTCTCCCCATAACCTTTTATCCCATTCACCGCAAGTGCTATATTCCAGCAAATGTTAATATGCTGAACACAAACATTAATTGTAAAAGTTGCCACATTGGATTTAGCACTCATTCACATCAAAAATGACCCAGAAGATTTTTTTTTGTCAAAAGATAATTTGCATCTTAGAAGTTATTACCAATCGGTGTGTTGTCATTTGAAATTATTTTGTGAGCTACCGAACAATGTGCCATTGACTGAGAATTGAGATGAGCCAGCTGCACAATCAACTAGTAATGTGACGTTTTGGCTTTCCTCCGAATCAGAAGGTGTAAACTCACCACAAGATCTGAACCCGATTAGGTTATAGTGCCTCAGACAATACTGTCTGCTTTCAGGTAGATATGAAAGTCCTCAGGGAGTGTAAGCATTCCTGCACTAACCAACATTATCAACAACAAGTCCATTGATTATTCATCACATTTGCTGTTTGTGAAACAACGCAGTGTTCAAACATGTTGTGAATTTAATGAGAACAGGTCTTCAAAAGTAACTTATTGTATTTGAAATATGTTGGTCTACCCTGAGGAGATAACATCATGTAAATGCAATATGTTTACAAAATTTAAAAGCAAATAAAATGAATAAATAGTAGCTAGGGAAAGGGAATCAGTTCCCATCCAAATTGTTGCATCTGTTCGTCCTGCAAAAAGTTACTTCATGACAATTATATAAAAGAAAATTGTTTCAAATCCTGTCGTGGCAACTGATTTGAGGGCTAACGGTACAATGGTGCCGCTGCCTCTAAGCTAACAGAGCCGGGTTCAAGACTCACCTGTTCCAGAGATGTGTCACAAGACATCAGAACAAATTGATTGAAAAATACTACAAAACAAAGACGTTTGCAATTTCATTGGAGGTCTCAAAAAGCTTTCCAGCACAATAAAATCGCGTTTGTATCCCACAAACAATGCAGTAATGTACGGACAATCCGTTCGTTACGAATCTGAAAGTTGCAAGTGGGATTAGATACTATTTCTATATCCATCCTGTTGTTTTCTTTGAAAAGGAGTGCATGCAGCAGGAAGGATGGAGAGAAGGAGGTGAGAAGCAGTTGAGCAATGGTGCTCCAGGTGCTTATTCATCCATTCCATGTCCCAGGTGAGTATGCCTAATGTCCCGGAAGTGATTCCCGGGCAGCGTGCAGAGCCATTGCCGCAGCGGGATCCATTGGCAGTCGCGAGCTGTTTCCATAGTTTAGCCTGTTTGAAAAGTGGCCTCGGGGGCTCGGTCAGCGAAACGTCGCATTCCCAGCGAAGAAGAGATTTAAACTCACAACTCGGAGCCAGAGAGAAAAAGAAACATGGAAGTTACTACTTAACACAATGCAGCGTCGAACTGTCCCTTCAAACGGGGGAAAAATAAGGTAAATCGTTTTTATTTTTTTAAAAAAAGTTTTGTTTTCTTTGGGAGAGAAGGGATAAAAATTCAATTAACAATATTAATTTTACAGTATTTTTTTTTAAAAAAAACATTAAAGGACAATATTTACGCGATTGAATAAAGGACGGGAGAGAGAATCGCATTTATAATACGGTGCGCGAGCGCCTCATTACCGCGGCCTAGCGCAGCGTCTGTCCGTAAGGGTGGCCGCCTGCAACCGACCTTGCTGCTTGACCACGCCCCGCCCTCTTTCCATCTCTCCTCCCGCCCATTGGCCGGGCAACGGAGTTCCCCCTTCCTTCCGCTTGTCCGATTGGTTGGCGGTTCATGTTTTAAACATAGACGGCGGCCGTTTCCGCTCCCCGATAGCAATGTTTGGTTGGCTGGCGTCATTAATCCCAATCAGGGAGAAACAATTGGTTAGTTAGAGCTGTGCCTGATTTATTTTTTTTAAAGGACCTAAACTGATGATATGACTTACTTCTAATCTCGATTGACAGTTCCGCGTGCTTTATCAAGATGCTATTTCGATTTTAAGTTCTACAAAAGTTGATTTATTTTTTTTTGTGTTCTTCACCACCCCCCCTTTCCCAATTTAGTTTCATAAAAGCATGTAAACTTATGGAAGTGGATTTGTAAAACCGTAGGTTCGACTTTTTAAAAAATCGTTCTTTGACTGGTCCCGCGATGAAATCTTCCCTTTCTTCTGTAAGTCCATTGAAAGTTAAGCAGATTTTTCTTTTGGTTGGGAATTTTTGCGTCTCCTGAAGAGAACCTGAGGCTCATCCGTCTCTGCCACTCCTGCCAGGAGGGAACCTGCTTTGTGCGATTTCTCAAGAAAGTAGGAAGAAACAAAACATGACTGTCTAAACGTTTTATTGAGTTTCTTTTTTGAAAATTCTTCCCCATATTGCGAATTTAACACGGGACCAGAAATGATAATAGCTTCGTCGACAATTGAATTAACAAAGCCTGCACATTTATTATCAGAAGCTATGTACAGTAAAACTGGAGATTGTTTTGATATTAACTTGAAGGATGGTTGCTTCCCATATACGTTAGTAAAGGGTTGTAACTTGCATATGTCCACACTTCAGTGAACTTGAAATCTTTCGGGAAGTTTTGGCTAACGTAGAAGCATCAAGAATCATAATTATATTTGAATTATGCTTTGAAAATTTTCTCGTGCTTTTGTTTCTTAAAATCAGTTTGTGTTTAACAGCTTAAAATGATGTAGGATATTCAATTTGAAACTGACAAGTAATTTTCTAATGTGTGCATTGATTTTCAATGAGTCTTTTTTAAACTTTTTTTTGCTTCATTTAATCTTTTGAAGTGGTGTACTGAATTTCCATAAGAAATCAGTTCTCATTTTTGTAGTATTTTAGTTTATAAAAATGATTTCTGTAATGCCTTTATTTGTAGTAAATGTCTCAATGTATGTGACAGAATTGTTAGTTTCAAAAAAAGGAGAAATTTTGGAAGGTTCTGATAGAGTCACCAGATGTCAAATGTTAATTCTGCTTTCTCCCCACAGATGCTGTCAGACCTGCTGAGTTTTGCCAGTAATTTCTGGTTTTGTTTCAGATCTTCACCATCCACAGTTCTTTGTTTTATTTAAATCTCAGAAGGTGTTTTGATAATGTAAGATGCATCAAGAAACCTCTTTTGTGGAAGAGAGTGTGGAACCAGAAGAAAAAAATTCTCAGTTAAGACAGCTGAAGATCCAACCACCGATTAGAAGCAATGATACTGGGAATGTGCAAGAGGTCAGGATTGGAGTTCTGCTGAGATTTTTTTGGGTAGAGAAGGCTAGCAGTGGAGTGAGTTATAGAGATAGCAAGAGCCAAGGCCATGGAAGGATTTGAAAACCAAGAAATATATGTATAAATCATTCAGCAATGGACTCCTAAAAGTGTTGCTCAATTTGGAATCTGTGTAAGTTAACATGCTCATTCCTTGTGGATGATCAGGTCTTGAAATCGCTGAGGATATGGGCAACAGTATTTTGGATACTCCATACAGGGAGATTAGCTATGACAGCATTGGAATGCTTCAATCTAAAGACAGCAAAGACATGGATGGAGATCTCTGCAATGAATGAGCTCCGGCAGTGGTGGAAACTGGCAATGTAATAGAGAAAGTATGGGATCAGAAGCACAGTACAATGAAATATGCCAATATTGCTGACAGTCTTGTTCATTAATTGAACTTAAGGTTTCCTTTTTCAAAAATAATGTAATGTGGAGGTGCCAGTGTTGGACTTGGGTGGACAAAGTCAAAAATCACACGACACCAGGTTATCAGCCAACAGGTTTATTTGATATCTCAAGCTTTCTGAGCACAGCCCCTTTTCAGGTGCAGTGAGAGGAGAGCACAGAGACACAGAATCTGTAGGCAGAGAGATAAAAGGATCACACAACTGTTGTGAGAGGAGTGAACAAACTTAAAATGGCTGACTGATCACCACTTTGCAGAATTGTTTTATTATTCTGTTGTCAACAATTTAGTTTTCAAAAATCAGATTGATATGTAGTCTTGTTATTGTTAGCTTTAAGCACTTGAATAAACCTAAAACCTACTAACCTCCACTTGAGTTGTTTCAGGACAATTTAAAGAAGGAGCATGGTTTCTCATGCATGTATGATTTATTGCTAAGTTTATGAAAGTTGTATCTGACTGTCAAACATTCAATCTAGATGTTTAAAATCTTGGAGGATATGAATAGTAATACACAGGACCATGTTATCTGCTGACAGACACATTGTGCCTGTTTCAAACTGACAAGATAGAGATGACAACCATTCTTTGGTTTATTGGCCAAAGCAATGCACTGAGAAATCAGGGTCAATTTGCCTTGTTTAAAACTAAACCAAAGCTGGGCAGTTAACCCTTGGTCATTATTAACTGGTGCATTTTCTATGGCAATATGTCTACCTGTCGGAGCCCATTTACCAATCAATCAGCATTCTCCTCTCTCAATGTAAATGTTGTTTTCCCTTTATTTTGGCATTTCTTGTGAATATCTTGAATGCAAGGTGAAAAACTTTTGATAATAACAGTCAGAAGTTTCGCATTTATTTGGTGGAGATGACTTCTGTCATTGTGTGTAGGGAGGAATGATAGACTGGCCAGAATGTTTGGGCATTCAGTTTCCCTTTCACTTGAATAAGGATTTGCTGATAACATGATGGTTTTTGACCTAATTGGCAGTTTCAGCAAGGCTGTAAGCTCTTCTGTGGGGGTATTGGAAAGATGGTTATCAACAATCAATCTGGCTTAATGCACGGTGGACTCATCTACAATAAACATTTTGGGCTGACCAAATTGTCAATAGTTGTTTAAATGTAGATATGACAATCTAATGCAATTGTGTTCCTGCCTTACGTTCTGACACAGAAACTGGCTTGCAACCTCTGTGAGTATCTTGGTTTGTTTTAACCGCACTCACACCTCTCACTAAGGACACACAAGTTTTGAGGCATAGATGTTTAAAACTGTTTCGGGACTACAATAATTGATGTAAGACTTTTTTTACAATATAGGGCATGAACTCCTCTCTCTGGATAGATAATTGCAGATCAGCACTATATCTCTATCTGATGCAGAAGAACACATCATTATGAGTGAGTAAATATTTTTTATGCTTCAATGTGAGTTGGTGTTGCTGAATGTGAAGTTGGTCATTTAAGAACTCTGGAAACTGCAAATTAACGTAGACGTGAATAATCAAAATAAAATAACCTTTTTAAAAAGTCAATTACTTTGTTAAAAATTAAAACATCAGTGAAGGATGAAACCAGTTGATCTTTCCCTTTAGTTTAAGTGACTGATATTACAATCCAACATCTGAATCGCCCAGTTATTTTTTGAGATTGATATTTGGTTGATGCAGATTAATTCATTCATTCAGTAACTGACCAGTAAATGATTGAAAAGGAGATGGAGCAGATTTGAAGTGTGTTAAATTTGATCTCTTTATCCATTGGTATTTATGTTGGCATAATGCGAAATAAGGGCAGTGCCACTACTTCTGCAGCACCATGTTCAAGTTACTCATTTCAAATCTGAAACTGCTGATCGAAGAGTGTGGCAAAGCTGGCTGTAAACTGAATACCACGAAGGAGACCCACGGTTTCCAGCAGTCACTTTTTTTTTGTTCAGTATATATGTTGTCTGTTCCTTGCTACTAACTACTTTCCTTTCCGTGGCAACTATCTCAGACTGAACCAGACTATTAAAGCCTTTGTGTTGTATTTGAACCGAAATGAACTTTCAACCATATATCTGCTATGTGACAAAGACAGACTACTTAAATTTCTAAAAAATTGCATGACTCCATCCTTTCTCAGCTCACCACCTTCTGAAGTCTTCGTATGTTTTTGTTAACCTGTAGACTTGATTATTCTTGTAGGACTCCACTTTTCCACTGCACATTAACTTCAGCATATCCAAAATGTTGGTGCCTGTACCTTAACTCGCACCAAGACTCTTTGCAAATGTAATATTTGACCTACGGGCTCCCAGTCTTGTTTTAAAATCCTTTGTCCCAATTTTTCTAGCAATGCGGTCCCTTTGAGCTCTGAAAGCGTTTAATTTTGGAACAGTGAGCATCCCTGACATAGTTGCGTGTCAATAGTAGTTGTGCTTTGAGTTGCCTAAACTCTCAATCTGGAATTCCCTCATTAACTTCTCCACATTTCTACTTCCTTTGCTTTCCTTTTATTGTAGCTCCTTTTGTGAAGGAAAGTGTGTTTTAAACATTACATAATCTGGGATTTGGATTTAAACTAAAGGCAGATGAATGTGGGTCAGTTCTGTGAAGGTGACTTTTTCTAGAACATGCCAAAATCATTTGGAACAGTGACCTAAGTGCACCAACTCCAAGAAAAGCGTGTTATTGCATTCATGTGCCACAGAACCCCTGTTGGTGGAAGGAATGTTTACAACAGATCAAAAAGCTATTCCTTTGGTTTTAACTTCAGAACCAAAATTTTTAAGATCTCAGCTCAGAACCAGCCGTTCAGTTCACAAGGGAGAAAAGTCTCTTTTAGCAGGAGAATCAAATTTCTGTTCAGAGGTATCAGTCACAGGGTTATAGAGTTGTCCAGCGCGGAAACAGACACTATGGTCCAACTCATCCATGCTGACCAGATATTCTAAACTAATCCAGTCTCATTTGCCAGCATTTGGCCCAAGTCCCTCTAAACCCTTCCCATTCACATACCCATCCGGATTCCTTTTAAATGTTATAATTGTTTCAGCTGTCATCATAGCAAAATGTTTTAAGTGATTTGAAGTTTTCAAACCAGCTGAGTTTGGATAGACATCTTCAAATTGTTAGAACTGGAAACATTTTAGGCAATCAGAATTGTGAAAGATTTATGTCCGAGTTTTGGGAAAGGAATTGTAAGATTTTCTCTGCTGTTCAAGGAAAAGAAACTCTGAGGAGTCAGTTTAAAAAGAATCAAGGTAGGAATGAAATTTCTTTGGAATTGAGTATCTAAAAGCATACTATTGGTGAATAAATTGAAACTTTGCTTTACAGTTTATGTTTAGATTTCTCTAACTGTCTTAGATATATTGCTTTGTGCATCAATTTTGTGTTTTGTTATTGAAGAACATCAGCCTTTGTGAATATGTGTCAGTGATGAACCTCACAGTACTCAAATGCAAAGAGCAATCATGATCTGTCGAACCAGGTTTCCTTATTGTAACTGATGTAGCATCAATTGGGATTATGTAAAAACGACATTGTTGTTCAAGCATTTGGCTGTGTCCTGACATCCCTTCGTGTGGCTTGGTATCAAATATCAGTTTTGTGATCACTCTTCCAAAGTGTTTTTTGTAAGCTTTAGTATGTTAATGTTACTTATATGCAACTTCTACTAAAATTAGTGAGGATGTTTGGGGCTTGTACTTAACTTATTACATATTTTAAAATCATAAAAGCTAACTTTCTTTTCAGCTGAACATTCTCACTGTACTGGTTGACAACTAAACTCTGTTACTGTTCTATTGACATACCATGCTTCCCCTCCCTCCCCTCTACCCCTAAATTATTTTCATTCTATAGTTGGCCAATCAACAAGATTTTTTGAGCACGTTGGACAAAGAGCACTTTGTTCATTGTGAACTCCACTTGGTGCTATATTTTATTTGATAAATGCTGGAGACTAGAAGTTTACTTGTGTTTGTGCATGGCAAACGAGTGATAAATCCATGTTGAATTTACAGTCATCACAGGTAGTTTGTTCCTGTTCAAAATAATTTTTGCATTTATTAGCAAATAATATAGTTGCTTCTATTAATCTATTTCAAATGGTAGAGGAAGATGTGCATGTAAAGAACTGCATTCAATGGCTTTGAACAGCTGAAAGACAAATATGGTATGACTGTTCCATTGTGATTACCCTTTAAAGTGTTGATTTTAACCTGAAAACAGAAAGTTAAATAAATTGGACACATCTTGATATACGTGAAAATGTACCAGATGAGGTGAATTTAAAATAGAGATGATCAGTTTGAAATTATTGCTGGCATATTTCAGAACCTCAAGAAATCCAAAGCACTTGTTAGTGAATTATGCCTGTCTGTAGTGTTTTCACTGTTGTAATGTCTGCAAGTGGGATAAAAAAATGCATGATTCTTGCAATAATGTTTCACCCTAATACTAAACATTTCAGATTTTAGGAGTCTGCAACATTTTAATGCTTTGTGCTATTTTTGTGACCTTTTAATGGGCTGAGATTCTGTGTAATCTCTAATTTATAAGTGTCCAGTGCTAAGTTTTTTAGTTTGTTCTTAGTGAGAGAAAAATAATATTAAAAAAATGTTGGAATGAGGAGTTACTGACAACTTCTGTTGTCTAGGAGCTGTGGTGATGTTTTCAATACCACCATATGAATTGTAATTGCAACAGTTAATTGTTTTGTTGTAAATGTTGTTTTGTTGAAAGCAAATAGAGAAAATCAGTTCAGAACTCCAGGTTTTATAAAAAGTGAAGATTAAATTTTAGTGTAAAAGCAAAATGTGAATATTTAAGAAGATACAAATTTCAACGTGTAATTGCTATTAGTATTCCATTTCTTGTTTTTTTTAATCTGTGAATGAATCAATTTTGAAATATTTTGTTGGAAGCCAGTTGCTCCATTCTCTGTTTTATGTTCCATTACTTTATGGGGGTTTTAAAAAGTTCATCAGGACCTTACAAATTGGTGGATTAAAGCATTGTTCATTGGTTTTTAAGTGGAAGTAGGGCATAAATTTTTGTCATGATATGTGATGAAGAAAATAGTAAACTGCATGGATGCATTTTTAGATTTGGTGCTTCAGTATGTTTTTTTTTGGGGTTACTGATACATACGATCTGGTTTTCCAAGGTCATAGGTTCAAGACCTCTTTTGCAACTTGACCGTAACATCTCTGCTTACAATTATGCAATACCAGGGAATAATGCATTGTTGGAGTTGCTGTGTTTTGGAAGAGGCACTAAATGTTGACTTGGACGTGATTCCACGGCATCATTGAGCAATGATTTTTTTTTCAGTGTCCTTTGACCGACAATTACCCCTCAATCAACAGTAGTAAAACAGATTAACTGGTGATTGCCAAATTGTAATTTGTAACTATGACATTGGCATTTGATGTCAAAGCAGTCATCAAGAACAGCTAGCTAGAAAGTGAGCTGGCAAAATTGAGATGAGATGTGAAATGGTTGAGGGGCTAGTGTCATGACTTAACTAAGGAAGCTGGGTGTGATTGGTGGAGACCAATCATTGCTTCCTCAGGAGAAATAATTTCCTGCGGTATTCTCAATCCATCTTTCTTGAGCCATTTCATCTGCAACGCCCTTCTTAAGATCACGAGTGAGGTGGTTTGTGGATTATTGTAAATTGTTCAGCTTCATTTGCAACTTCAAATAATGAAATAGCGCACAGCCTGATGAGCAAAGAAAACAACTTGAACTTGCATAGCATTTTTAAGATCCCGGGGTTATCCTGATGGATTTCATTGGCAATAAACTAGCTACATAGAATATGTGATATTGAATTTGTGCACAGAAAACCTTCTAAAATGGTAAGCTATGTGACTATCTGGTCAGTTTTATTGATGTTGGTTAAGAAATAAGTACTGCCTGGTTTACTAGGGAGATTCTTTTTCCCTTCCAAATCATGCAAAATGATCTTGATCTTGGAATAGATAGGACCTCTGTTCTGTTGGATTTGATTAAGTGAGGGTAGAGACCACCAGAGATTGGGATGAATGGCCTACTTCAGCTCGATCGAGTTTTTTTTCTGTCATTCAATGAGACAATGGCTGATCTGATAATCCTGAATTCCATCTTCCTGCCTTTTCCCCGTAATTATTGATTTTCCCTTATTGTTTTAAAAAATCTCAAGCCTTGAGCATATTAACAACCCAGCCTCAATAGCCCTCTGCAGTAAAGAATTCGAGGGATTGACTGACTACATTTTGAGAGAAAACAAATCCTCCTTATCTCTGTCTTGAATGGATGACCCCTTACTCTGAGATTATGCTGTCTTGTCCTAGACTCCCCAGGAGAAACAATCTCTCCACATCTACCCAGTCATGTCCTCTAAGAATCATGTATGTTTCAATAAGT